CTTTACTGAAATATTCTTGTTGACGCTGTTTCCAAAGTAATATCCTTCGATTCCGGGGAAAACCTGCTAAGCTTTCGTCCGTCGTAGTGGAATTTTCCCACAATTATATGGGAAAATTCACCTACCAGTCCTTTATCACCTCAAACGAAATATGGTAAACGCATCTCATATATAAAATATTCATATTTTTGTTTTTATACTTTTTCCTAAGAAGTCAGTCACCCTACTTCGCAAAAGACAATTAAAGTGCTACTAGTATACTTCAACACGTGTCGTCAGCAACCTCAACGGGATTTGATACCAGGCCGTGGGCATCTTGGCGACACAAGTTACTACTCCCACACATCCGCACGTGTCAATGTGTGACAGGACAGACAGAACTTTACTCACTCACATTTGCAGTGGGATTGCTGATGAAGGAAAATAATATTTTCCAGTACACTATATATCTTTACTAAATTTTGGTTAAGTACGTTTCGAAATAATCAGTTATTCTTAAATACGATCCCACTTTTTGGTAAAAGTAGGGCTGTATCTGTTGTGAATGATCATACCTGGACGTCTTGTTTTATTGTGTTTTACCAAAGTATGGATTTCCTTTCCAAAAAATACGAGCTGGAAGTTTTACCGATATCCGACGGAGGAGTTAAGGACTCAAGTCAATGGGCCTGCTTGGAACTCCGATGCTGCAAGGGAAAGGAGAAGCACTTCGTCCGCTCGTTGAGTTACGTGCCAGGGTCGAAAACATCCGAGCTTAGGCAAACATATCTAAGTTGCGCGACCAAACACAATTTTCTTTCCTTTCTTGACGGCGAGGCTGAGAAGCCGAGGATCCTGTGATTGTGACAAGCTCTAAGTTCGGCTATCAGGAAGGTTATTTGAGGCTCTACAAATTTTTTTTCAGTGGATGTGGTGCTTGGACGGCATTTAGATATGTTAGCAGGTGTTGTCGATTGCATGATTTCCTTGTAAGTGGAAATCCGGCAGTGATTAAATTAAAAAATTGATGCAAAGAGGAAATATGGTTTTGCGTTCTGAAAAGAAATGCTCTCAAACCAACTATCGCAAAATAGTTTTTCCTAATAACGTATGGATCATTTAGACAAGTACATAGTTCCTATGCCCATTCTGCCAAAGTAGTGCCAAATTCTTTTTCAGATTGCATACACAATACAAAGTCTCCATAAATTTAAAAACGAATAAATCTTTAAAATGCACTGTTTTCTTTGTCATGCCTCCCAGTTCGCACTAAATTACAGTTCTCCATACCTGGCGGATTATCACGAGTCGTTGGGACGCCAATAAAGCTTGGCTTCGGACAGATTTCAATCCCATTTCCAGTACTTTTGGGCCGTCACTGTGGTCATTGTACCTTTACTTACACACGAAAGCACATAAGCATACACACATGCTTTGAGATTGAAATGCGACATTCTATAACTCATATAAAACTGTTTAGGTTTGGGGCATTTATATCGCATTCAGGGATAAGTAAGTGAAATATATTAACTTTTTAGTCTGAATATGGTTGTAATAATAATGTCCGTCATATAAAAGACGAAAGCCTATTAAGCTTTCATGGAATGCGATTGAGTTTGCGTTTGGGATAGTGCCAAATATAATGTTCCAGTAAAACCAAGCAGCAGATGGCCAAGGGAATCCGCCATCATCTTCTGGTGGGATTAAACCTTGGATTTCTTCATCGCGTACCTACACTCTAAATCGAAGTTAGTTAAAAACTGGCAAGCTATGACCAACAACGTAGTCACCCTAATTCACTTAGGATGACTAAATTCATATTTAATTATTATTGACAGTCTGAAACTACTCATATAAAAACAAGTAGCGTCATTGATTGCAATGGCAAAAACGTGCAATTTTTCAATCGGCAATCCCCCAATAAAATGTGTTTGTATCGGCCTGAATTTCCTTGAATGCCGCATCTGCAGAGCCGGATAACCTTTTTTATTTAGGGCTAACTTGTAGCTTTTGCAAGAATGAGTTCCAGCCCTGATGAATTCTGTCAATTATCATAACTGACGAAACGTGGAAGGATTTCTCGTAGACTGTACCAGCCTGAAGGTTGTATTAAAGAAGACCAACGCGAATCCTCTTTGCCTTCTGGTGAGTTAGACCAACGAGTCTCTTCATCAAGCATTTTCAGATGAAATGAAAATCTCCATAACTAAGTTTTTATTCTCGAATTTCTGATAATCTTGACAATTACTCGTATTGTCAAACCTGATATTACCTGAGGCCCAACTTTTCTTCGTATATTCAACTAGATTCGGTTGTTAAGAATAGCGGAAGGTATATTATTGGGGCGACGTAGCGTCGGGTAACTCCGTTCAGGTATTTTTGACTGGTCTGAGTTGAATTTTCTCAAGATGAAATAAAGTAATCACAGAATGCCACTGAATTTCACAGTGCCTTGCCCCACAAAAGCATTTTTTCCTCTTGAGCTTCTTCTTCACCCCAAACGGGGCTCGTGAACTGCGTCAACCTGAACATCGTATAAAAGCCAAACGGCTGCAGTACAACGAGATTTATCCGTCCTCATCTGATGAGATCGACCAACGAATCTC